TGTGAAAATATCTTCTTCTGATAATAATAACAATAAAAATATGTGTGAGTGTGTGTCTTTAGGTCGCAGGTGGCAGACAGTGCCACGCGCGGTTAGTCGTAATCGCAAAATCGACATGGCTAATTATCGTCGTATTGTTGTTTCGAAGTTTAAAGATGGAAATGTTTCCTTCGCGAGATATAGTACATCGGAGACAAAACGCGACGATTCGATGGTAAATAGAATTTTTTTTTCTTTAACTCACAGGCAATAATGTTAATTGGAAATTTTATGGTGCGGAGGGTATTGGTTCTGGAAATGTTACAATATTAATTTGGAACAGGTGGTATTTATTTTTGGTTACAATATTAATGGCTAAAGAATATTTACTTTTGATTCCACCAACACCTGTTAAAAGTTATTTCTATAGAAAAAAAATTGTCAATTTAAACTGTTGTTACTCAAAAACATTGTCAGTTACAACTATTGTCACTTCCAACTGTTGCTGGTTACAACTATTGTTACCTCCAATTACTGTTAGTTGCAACTTTTATTACTTCTAACTGTTGCTAGTTACAATTATTGTTTCTCCCAACTGTTGAGAGTTACAACTATTGTAACAACAGGAATTGTTAATTACAATCATTATTAGTGAAACATATTGCTAGATACAATCATTGTTTCTATACATATATTGTAGGTCACAAACATTTTTGGTTGCGAATATTGTTTGTCATATACAATGTTTGGTAGTAAAAACAATTGTTACTACTAACTGTTGGTAGTTACTACTATTGTTACTCAAAAGAATTGTTAGTTACAACCATAGTCAGTGACAAATATTGGTAGTTATAATCATTGTAGTATATCGATTACAACTATTGTTAATTACAACAGTTGTTAATTACAACTATTGTTAATCACAACAGTTGTTAGTTACAACTATTGTTACTTCTTAATGTATAGGTATAATTAAACTATTGTTTCTCCAAATTGTTTGTAGTAATACCCATTTTTACTTCCAATTGCTGCTATAGTTACAACTATTGTTACTTCCGACTGTTGGTAGGTACAACTAGTGTAACAATAAAAATGGTCAGTTACAATCATTGTTATTGACAAATATTTACAGATACAATTATTGTTTCGAAAAGGATTGTTGGTTACAACTTTTGTTAGTAACACCAAATTTTTATTGCAACCGTTGGTACTCCGAAATTTTAGTTGTTGCAACTATTATTACGAACAACAGAGGGCAATTACAATAATTGTTACTCAAAAATGTTGGTCATTCAAAAAACTATTGAAACAATTGTTAGTTATAGTTGTTGATAGTTATAACCATGATAATCATTTCTTATTACCTAATGGAGATTCTAACCAACATAAATTTATAGATGAAATAAAAATACAAAGAAACTAATAAAACCTATAGGTTTTATTAGTTTCTTTGTTAAAATTTACTATTTGGGCCCAAATAGTAAATTTTAACAAAATAACAATAATCGGTGAAATAATATTAAATTATTAATAAAATAAAAATTATACTAATATAGCAATAGGTAAAATAAACGATTTCTCGTTCAGAAGAACAATATGAATATGTATCGCACTGTATATAATACAAAAGTCGAAATTTATCATTAGATGCGAATTGTTGGCATTTTCACACACTTTCGCGTTCTTAAGCGTTCATTTTCTCTGAATAAAGGTGTGACGGCGAAAAACGACAGTGGAAATATAAAGTGGCAAAAGAGCCCCCTCATTCTTTTGTATTGTATTGTTGTTCGTCTAATTCGATAAATTTGAATGCAGCAAAAAAAAAAAAAAAAAAAAAAAGGAAACAGAAAAAAATAAAGGAAAAAAAAGCGACCTTACTTAATTAGAAAATAACGAGCAATATCATCGCATGGTCACCTCCCAATGGTTTAATAATACTATATACATTTATGCAGAATGCGAACTCTACACTAATTACTAATTACGCATTATTCGACGCGAGTCTCGATGGGGTTGTATTCTTTTTAATCAAGTAGGCTTGCCCTCCCCCCCTCTCTCTCTCTCGTATTTATAAATTATGCCCATGTATTATTTTATTCTTTATTGTTTGAAATTTTGTTTTTGTAAAATTCTCTTTTTTGGTATTTAATTACTTTTTTTATTAATTAATTTAATTATGTTAACAATATTAATTAATATTTGTTCTCTCTCTCTCTCTCCTTCCCTCGCATTTATAAATTATTTTTAGCTATATTGTTTAAAAATTTCTATTCGGAAAATTCTCTTTTTTTGGGATTTCATTATTTTTTTGTTTTTTATTAATGAATTTAATTATATCATAAATATTAAATATAATATTTGTTGTAATTAAAAGATCCCCCCCCTTCTCTCTCTCTCTCTCTCTCTCTCTCTCTCTCTCTCTCTCTCTCTCTCTCTCTCTCTCTCTCTCTCTCTCTCTCTCTCTTCCTCGTATTTATAAATTATTTCCATGTATTATTTTATTTTTTATTGTTTGAAAATTTCTTTTCAGAAAATTCTCCTTTTTTGGCAGGTATTTAATTACTTTTCTGTTTTTTTTTATTAATGAATTTAATTATATTAAAAATATTAATTAATGTTTGCTATAATTAAATGACAAACGATTAATATTAATATTAACGAAATATTATTATTGGTTCGATGAAAATTTCTTTGATTTAAATAAAAATTATTTGACTCAAGTAAATATTTATTTGATGATAGGCAGAAAATCGGTTTTTGGAAATAAAATATAAAATATTTTTCGGTACATTTACCATTTTTAAATTCAAAAATCACGTATCAAAGAATTTTTAATTTCGCAATTATTCGACTGTTCTTTTACCTTTGATGCTTCCTTTATTTTTTTGTATTAATAATAACACAAGAGCATAAAAGTGTATAATATAATATAAAAAAAAAATTGCAATTCCCAAACGTTTCACTGTTTTTTTTCCTCTCTTCTTCTACCCCTTTGAAAAAGCAGTCAGCTTTATTTATTAAATTGAGAAAGTTTGCGTTAAAAAAAAGCAAAAAAGAGAAAAAAAAACACTTTTCTTGAAAAAGGGGTTGCAGTTTTCATTTACACTACGTCGCCTTTGCAACGACTTTCATGGGGTATATACATATATACATAATTGCGAGAGACAGAAATGTGTGTATTAACTTGAATAATACTCGCGTGTGCCAACTAAATGTCACTAGTGTGGGTGGTACGTTAATTAATTGCAGTCAAGATCCACGAGGATCCAAACCTGTGAATTTAAAACACGAGGAACGCGACGGAGGGCAAAATAAAATTAAAAAAAAAAAAAAAAAAGTAGCGAGAGAGTCTGTGGGAAGCGCAAAGAGGTGCGAAGTACACTTCCGTGAATGTCTGTGTCCGGAATTTTTTTTCTACTATGGCGCAAGAGGGAGCACTTAATTGCAAGTTTAAGTAATTAGTACCTTGGCACCTTTCCGCGTTGTGCTCGTGTTTTTTTCTCATTCGTCACATATATACACATAAGAAGTACTCACATTATTTTTATTACTCTTCATTCCAGGGACAATCTATATATTATATACCATAATTAAAAAAAAGGTGGGTGCACAACTGAAATGATCAAATTATTCATTTTTCTCCTGCTTTCCACATGGGTTAAAAGGAAAATAATTAAAAATAACAAAACAAAACAAAATTGATTTGTATTAAAATTGTAAAAGCATAGTATCTCCTACTGTTATTAGGTGCATTGCTATTTTTCCTGCGTGTAAATATATTTCCCCCAGAAAAAATGTGCGTATATATATTTTTTTTTTTGACAATAACAAAAAAGCGAGAAGCTACTTTCAACTTTATAAACAGTATTTTAATTAATGTATAATAAACATGTTTTATTTAATAAAGGAAAAATTACTTCAGTCCAAACAAATTAATTTTTGATAATATAATAGGTGTATGAAAATATAATAGTCGTATAGAAATATAATAATACTGATTTTAAAATATAATATGAAAAATTTTATTCATCATTGTTCATTTTGTTCAGTGTAGAAAAAGTAAAACAGTATAGAAAAATTTGCAATTATAATTTTAAGGGAGAAGGGGAAACTTATGGTTTAAAATAAATTATTATTGTTATTTTACGCATATTCAAATATTATAAATATTAATAAAAAAAATTAATAAAAATAAAAAGTTTCAACTAGACTTCGTAGAGACTGTGAATTTTGATTAGTTTTGATTATAGTAAAAAATTTATGCTCCACTAATTTAAATTAGCAAAAATTTTTACTAATTCTTGTGTAAAAAACTAAACTATAAAAAATACTATATTCTCTAAACTTGAATTAGTAATTGACATTTTGCTTCTGAATTAGTAAATTTTACAAATAACAGTAATTTCTACTAATTTATCAGTAAAATTTACTAATTATAATTCACTAATTTTACTAATTCTAATTTACTAATTTTACTCATAAATAGTAATTTCTACTAATTTATTAGTAAAATTTACTAATTCTAATTCACTAATTTTACTAATAATTAGTAATTTTTATTAATTTATTAGTAAAATTTACTAATTCTAATTTTCTAATTTTACTAATAAATAGTAATTTCTACTAATTTATTAATTCTAATTTACTAATTTTACTAATAAATAGCAATTTCTACTAGTTTATTTGTAAAATTTACTAATTCAAAAACAAAAATTTAGTCACTATAACTCAAATTAAGTAAACATTTTTACTAATTCAAATTTAGAAAGCAAAAAACTACAACTGAAGTAAAAAATTTAATTCCAAATGAAATAGTAAGAATTAGTGGAATTGTTCTTTTAAAGAATAATTTTGAAATAATTTCCGAAATACTAAGAATTAGTACGGAAATGTTTACTAATTTTGTTAATTAGACGATTTTTTTTACTATTTTAAATCTAGAGAGGATGTATCTTAAAAAAAGATTTTTTTCTTATTTTGCGCACTAAAAATGAAATTTTAAATACTGAAAAGAGAAATACCTTTTGCTGCTTGAAGAAATAAACATTATGTAGGCTTGCTCAGTGATTTGTCATGTCAGAAAAGCATCTCATCTGCTTAGAGATCTATTCAATTCAAGTTCTGCGACTACCGTTAGAGGAAACAGGCTTTGGATTCTGAAATAATTTTTTAATTTTCATTTAAATATTATGCATTTCAAAAAGATAAATTCATTAGCAGAAAAAATTTTTAAAATATTTTTATCAAATTATTTACGATAAGAATTAATTAAAATTCATATTGTCTCAGTTATTAGTATTGTTCTACTAATTTTAATTAGCAAAAAGTACAAAAAGAATGCGGATTAATTATAGTATTAGTTAGTTTCAGTCATTAGTATTTTTCTACTAATTATAATTAGCAAAAAAAAAATACTGAAAGACTTCGGATTAATTATTAATAGTCAGTTTCAGTTATTAGTATTTTTCTGCTAATTCTAGTTAGAAAAAAGTACTAAAAAAAGTCCGAACTCGTTTGTCAATTAAATATTAAGGATTTTTCAAATTTTTAGTACGAAACCATTAAGTTAGTAAAATTAGTAGTTTCTTTAACTGAAACTTAGTAAAATTTTTACTATTAAATTGGTAATCGAATATTCCCTCTTTAATTATTAGAAAACTACTAATTTATGTTTAGCGAGTAATATAATATAATGAAAGTATAGTAAAATAGCAAAGAAAATAATTAAAACTATAAAAGACTAATAATTTAAAAATAATAATAGTAATTAATAATAATTTTATTGAAGAATTTATTTATTTATTATTTATTTAAGAATTTTATTTTAACAATTTAAAAAACTAATAATTAACAATATAAATTGTCTAACAACAATAAAATATAACTAATCTAAAAAAACTAAAAATAAAAAAAAATAAATATAATCTAAACACACCCGCATTAAATATTAAATAAAATAAATAAACTTTTATATACAATAATTAAAAATTAAAAATACAAATAAATCAAAATATTATAGTTAAACGATTGCATAAGTAGCGTATACAAATTAATTAACACGTGCGCAAGAAGACTTATTATATATTTATTTATATGAGACTAAAAGAAGAAGAAGAAGAAAAAAATGAAAATACCATATTTACGCATAAAAAAAGTGTGGAAAAAAAAATAAATTTGTATATATTTAATATTTAAATGAAGAATATAATTACTTGGATGATAATAAAATTTCATAGTCTACTCTCTATAAAACACGTTGTTTAAATTCTTGCATTTAATAACATTGGTTAAATTGGCTCTTAAACGCAAAAGATATGAATGAATTTGCAACAAAGTAAAGCTTAATGGGACTTTCTACCCCATAAATTTACCAATGAACAGTTTATCGTGAACTTACCGGTTACGTTATATTGGTTTCGCATTGATGATAACCGGTTCGTTCACTGGACATAAATAAAGAAATAAAGGATAAATATATTTATTTCTCTTACGAAATTCCAATGCGGAAAAGTCCCTGAAAATTGAAAAATCACGATTGAAGGAAAAGATATAATTGGAACTTCTGCGAAAAAATAGATATAATTCACAGGGTCTTTTACATATAAAATATTTCTGTATGGAAAAATTTTTATAACGTGTGTCCTTGGTCCGGTGGTTAGGCCATCGACTTGTGGAACTTGGGGTCGTGGTTTCGATTCTCGGTGGTTGGGGATTTTTTCTATATGGAGTAAATTAATTATTAAAAATAAATAAATTACTATTCCTATAAATATTACGGTCGGGGGTAATTATAAATTAGTATGGTTGTGTTGCAATCGATGGTAATTACAATTAATGGTAATTATAGTCGATGGTAGTTACAATAAATGGTAGTTACAATCAGTGGCAGTTGCAGACAGTGGTAATTAAAATTAGTGGTAATGACAGTCGAGGGTAATTACAATTAGTGGTAATCAATGGTAATTAAAATCAATGGTAGTTTCAATTACTGATAATGATAGTCAATGATAGTTGCAACCAGTGAAAAACTAAAGTCAATGGTAGTTCTAATCAGTGGCAATTACAATCAATGATAGTTACAACTACTAGTGATTACAGTCGATGGTAATTACACTTTATGGTAACTACAAACAATGGTAATTACAAACAATGGTAATTACATTCTATGGTAATTACAAACAATGGTAATTACAGTCAATGGTAATTAAAGTCAATGGTAGTTTCAATTACTGATAATGATAGTCAATGATAGTTGCAACCAGTGAAAAACTAAAGTCAATGGTAGTTCTAATCAGTGGTAATTACAATCTATGGTAGTTACAATTACTGGTGATTACAGTCGATGGTAGTTACAATCACTGGTAATTACACTCTATGGTAATTACAAACAATGGTAATTACAGTGGATGGTAATTACAAACAATGATAATTACAGTCAATGGTAGCAACCATAAGAAAACGTCAATAACCCTATCATCAACCATCATTGTTTTCCAACCACCATAATTTAAAGTCAATCACAAATTAAATCTTCACAATCAAATAATAATCACTCAAACCAGTAAAATAGTTATCCTCGCGCAATTTATGCAAATTTCCCTCGCATTTTGCGATCAAAGTGATAATTAAATTTGCAAATTACTTGCGCTTCGCGAGTATGCAACTTGATATATCTACATATACATCATATTGGGAAATGTGGAGAGGACATTTTTAAACAGTTGTTAATTAATCTCATTATGAGAGTAAATTGCGCTTGCAGAGTTGTGTGGTACACCAACGAAAAAGAGAGAGTGAGTGAGTGAGAGAGAGAGAGATGCGAATCAATTAATAACGACGTCGAGCCCTCAAGTTGGAAATGTTGAGCGAAAGAAAAGGTCCTTGAGAAAGGTAGAAGTGCAGTGTGCACGATGGTTAGAACACGAGTAGCAGTACTTGAAGAACAAGATGGCGGCAAACCCTTGAAAACCACTAAATAAGCCTACCAGCATCCTTGCAAGTCTTGTACCATTCGTAATTCAATTAATTTGCAAAATGGATCTTCTCCGGTTGGACTTTTTTTTTACTACCGAAAGAATTATCAAGAAAACAGATTTTTTACTCTAATTAACCGTGATTTTTTTTTCCTTTTTTTTCGAAGAAAAAGGAGAAAGAAAAGAAGTGATAAGTTTCTTATGAATAGGGAAATTTGTTGAATTAGTAACTAATATTTATAAATATTTATATTAATATTTCTATAAATATTAATACATTGAAAAAATAGATTAATATAAATAAAATAATCTCCTTTCCCCCCACTTTATTTTCTAACCTTATGCATTAATAAAAATTATTTACAATTAACTATAATAATCGACAAATTCTTTCATTCATTCTCTTTGTCCACATCTGAAGAATTTTTTTTAGAAAATATTGTTTGACAAATCGAAAATATGCAGGTATTTTTCATGATTTACAATAAAATAATAATACATATTTGAAATTAGAAAATTAGAAAGTTGAAAAAAATATGATTAACTAAATAAATTTTGTTTTTTATACGTTTTTTTGTAACAAATTTCGTTTGACTGATCTAAATTATGCAAATTTTTTTGCTCTTTATTTATAAAAAATATTAGAAAATTGCTAATTTTTAGAAAAATTATTCAAATTTTTAGAAAATAAAGGAAAAAATTTTACTCAAAAAAATGTTCTGTTACATTTATTTACGAATTTCTTTAATTGTAAAATTGTTCGAAAAAACATCAATAACTTCTTTTTTAAATAAATATCTAATTATAATTATTTTTTCACAATAATTAAGATTTTTAAAAATGTCAAATTCAAACCTTTTTGAAATTAAACAACTTTATAAAAGTATTATCATTATTTTATATTAAAAATTTGTTACTATAACTTCTTAAAAATGGTTTTTTATTATTTCAGTTCAATTATTATTATTTTCTAGAATTTTTAACTAAAATTCTTCTCTAAATCAACTATTTAAAATTTTTGAAAAAGTTCTTTGAGAATTTTCAAATCCATTTGTTTAAAATTCAATTTTACGAAATTTCAATTATTCGGAAATTTTTCAATTAAATATACTGTTAGGAAAAATTTTAGAAATTCTCCCAGGAAACAAATTTTACTAATTATTTAGAAAGATTTACTAACACAGATAAGGGAATTTTTCTAAAAAAATTTTGGAAAAATTTTCTCTTAAAAGTTTAGGAAAATTTCCTTATAAAAATATAGGAAAATTTCTTTTCCTATAAAAAAAAATATTTGGAAAAATTTCCATGTAATTTGAAATAATTTTAAAAAAAAATTAAATTAAACTTTTTCAAAAAAATTAATTCTTCAAAATTGTCAGTTAAAAGCAGAGAAAATTCAAATTTTCAAATATTTTAATTTGAAACCTTTTCCGAATTATTCATTTATTCAAATACAAAAGTAAATAATGTATTGAATATAATTAAATGTTTTTTAAAATTTAATTCTTACAAATATTTTTGGCAACAAATTTTTAAATAATTAAATTCTTTTGACTAATTCTAATAAAATTTTTAAGAATAATTACATTTTTCGACGAATTTGATTAAAATTGTACTAAACATAATTAAAATTCTGCGATGAGTTTTATTATTTATGAAAATAATTGAATTCCTAAAACAAATTTATTATTTATAAAAATAATAATTGAATTTATAAAAAAAATTTATTATTTATGAAATTAATTGAATTATTGAGAAGAAATCTATAAACAGTTTGTTAATAATTGAATTCTTTTAGGACATTTACTAAAATAGTAGATATTGAAAATCATTGAAATCAGGAAAACTTTTTAAAATAATTGAGTTTTGGAGAAGAATTTTGTTATTTATAATGCTAATTGTGATTTTGACGAGAATTTTTTTTGAAATTTTGTACATAATTGAACTTTTGTACGAAGAATTTTATTACTTTAAAAAATAATTGAGTTTCTGCAATCATTTGTAAATTGACTTTTAAAAGTCAATTAATATTGAAATATTTAAGTAAAATTATTCATTAAATAAAAATCACAAAAATTCAGAATTTTCTTTTGAATTCTAAAAATTTAATTTTTCTCAATAGTTTTAATAAAAATATCTGACTTTTGTATATTATTATTTATATATTATTAATTAACGTTTAAAAAATTATTATTTATATTATTAATATTAACATTTAAAAAATGATTGTATAAATTTCTAACTTTTATTTAAATAAAAATTAAAAATTATAAATGAGTCCATTAAAAAAATGTCACAAAACAGAAAAAACTTTAAATAACAAAAGAAATTTATACATTAAAATATCGCATTTAAAATTTAATAGATTTTATAATTTTCCCTTATTTTCGGAAACTAATTAATAATATGAAATAATAAATAAATAAATAAATAAATATCTCTTTAGATTCCTCTTTGTGGGGATGTTAATGCAAAAATATAGGGAATTAAATTCTTTTTGTCCAGGCAAAAGCATAGTGTTCTTTTGAAGACACAGAGGAAATTCAAGGTAGAGTAAAAGTCATTCGAGGATTTCCTTTTGACCAGTAAATACTCGATCAAAGGAGGATTTTTTTCCTTCTTGTTGGACGAGAGGGAAATCGTAGCAGAAAGACTTTTTTTTCACTGGCATTTGCTTTGTGCAACTAGTTCATTATAAATATGAAGTTCTGCTAGTTTTTTTTATGTAGATCGCAAAAAAGAAAGAGGATGGAAAAAAAATCTCCTCCTTAAAAAAGAAATTTGCTTATTACACGATTATCCATTTCTCTAGATTTTGCAAAACGAAGTTTTTCTAAAGAAGAAGATAAAAATTTATGCTCTTTAAAATTTATTTGATCTAAAATAAGAAAAATTCTTCTTCGAATTATTAAAGTAAAAGATTTTCCTAAAAAATAAATTTTACATATTAAAGAAAACTTATTCTGCATTTTTTAAATTTAGAATAATTTTTTAATTTTCTAAAGAAAATTTACTAATAAAAAATAAACAAATGTTACTCATTGTTTTTGATCCTAATAAAAATAATTAATAATTAAATATTATTAATTTCCGGAAAAATTTCAAATTTTAAATTTAGGTAATAGTTAATTTTGTAATTATTAACCAAATATTAATAAAAACTAAAATCGAAATAAATATTTAGGTCTTTTGAAAAAAAAGAAAATTTTGCGTGAAACAAAAAATAACAGAAGTCATTTTTTTCATACTGCAAATACCGGTAAAAATCGAAATTAATTAAAATAAAAACAGAAAAAAAAACAGTGCGAATATAAAAAAGCCGAGTCGCTTCACAAATCATTGGTGAAAAAATTTAATTTACGAGCATATTATAGTCACTAGGTTTCGAGGACGAAGCCGGTCCGCCACTGAAACGTGGGATGTTAAAAAATGCGATTTGAAAAGTCGTTCCCTCGAAATCTGGTTTTTTTGACACAAAAACATGTTTTTTTTTTTCATTTGAAGCAAGTAAATAATTTGCAAATAAAAAACAAAAAAAAAA